CAAATCTACCAATAGAAGATTCAAAAAGGAACATCCAACCACCTTAGCTTTATAGGTTGGAAATGAAGCTTATGTGGAGTTTATAGAAAATTCCTACGTATGGCTTGCAGAATAATACCTAAAAGAGAGCAGCAATTTGCTCACCGGAATTCCTCCAGCAAAAGCCCCTAAATAGTAGAGAAGTTGCTTGGTAAACTGCTCTTGATCCTTGTCTTGTGGAAGAATAGAGAAAAAAGTTAATTAGTAAGAGTCCATGTATCTGTTAGTGACTATTATCTAAAGACGTATTCGGCACAAACAACTATTATCTAAAGACGTATTCGGCACAAACAACTATGATTAGATCTAATTGGCAAAAGCAAGAAATCACTTACTAGCAAGTGCATTATAAAAGTCACGACCAAGAAAATTAAATCCAACGCTGATACCCGTTGTCCCCAACGTAAGAGCAAATACTGCAGCAAGCCTTAACCTAGCTTGCACCTTATCTTCTGATGACCAATATGGAGCAGCCACCTTCCAAAACCGTTTCAGAAGTGTCCTAACTTCTGGAGCAACCCTCTGTTCATCCTGAAGAACAAGACATTTATGGGAAACATGATATACCAGAATGTATTTGGAGAAGTCAATGTAATTTAGGTGCACATTGTCAAAGCTGAAAAGGAAAAAGAACTTGAAAGTTCTAATTTTGATGACACCCTTAACAAAAATAATCTCATTAAAAGAGTATCCTAGGAAAACAAAACTAGAAGTGCATGTATGTCCTAAAACTTTGAAATACCAACTATAATAGTAGTTTCAAAGTGAGATGAAACATGATGTAGCCAGTGAAAAAAGCGAGACCAAAAACATTAATTATACTGACAATTTTATTAAAATTAGCCTTAATGTTACAAGTGAAACTGAATGAAAAATAAAAAATATGAAAATTTACAACCCAAAAGTTCTGCACTAAATGGCCATATATACACTATCTAACAACAGTGGGGCTCTAACATGCACAATTGTGATGGTACATTGGTACTACACTAAAATTTCGGAAGATTATTTATGGTAACCCCTAATTTGACTTAAGTTTATAAAACTTTACATGATAATAAGCAAGTACAGAGCCAGTCTTGACAAAAAGGGCCATGGGCACCCCTAACAAGAAAACTCCTACAAGGATTACAATTGTATGCGTCAAGGTTTTTTTTTATTTTTTTTTATTTGAAGCATTAGATGCTTTGTCTATTTGCAATCTCATTGCATTATAACATTTCATCATGACATGCTCTTTCTTACTCAACAATTGGGTCATAATTCTGAAAAAAAGAGTGTCAGTATCAATTATAATGGAGACTACTTCCCTTTTTATGGAAATAATGAATACCAATTGGGTTTTCATTAATCGCAAAGAAACTCACCACAAACTATTGTCCTCATTTTGAATTAATAATTATTGATATATAGTCATGAAACTCTAGGAAACTGTCCAAGAATTACATATGTTCATATTCATCCTTTTTTATATAACAAGAATAAAAGTAATTTTTTCTTTTTTAATGATGGAGTCTACTTCCCTTTTCTATGGAAATAATAAATACTAATTGGATTATCAATAATCACTAGGAAACTTACCACAAATGATTCTACTAACTTTGAATCAACAACTAAAAATACCTAGTCATAAAACTCTATGAAACTGCCGAACACTAAAAGACTTTTATATTCATGCCTTTTTAAAACTTATATATATATAATATATATATATATATAATATATATTAATATATATATATATATATATATATATATATATAATATATAATATAATATATATATATATATAATATAGAGAGAGAGAAGAGAGAGAGAGTAAAGCTAGAAGCAACTTAAGTTGACTATGGGGAATGAGGTTCTTATCCACCAAATTTTTTATCCATTAGACTAGCTTTGAGATTCGTTGTTGGCATGTGACATACATCAACACTATCTTCAGATGTGTGGCTTGATTCGTATTATATGGCCAACAATAATTTCAAAACAAATCCAACGAACAAAAAAGTTAGAACAAAATTCTCATATCCACTTAAATTATACAAGAGCTTTACTCTAAAATGTGTGTTGTATAAATATATATATATATATATATATATATATATATATATATAATATATAGTAAATATATATATATATATGAGAAAAATGGAGAAACTTGGTACCAAGTTGCTCCAAACAACTTGGTAGTGATGTGACCTAATCTTGTCCCTACATCTACATTGGAGTTGATGAAGGGTGGTTGATGTTCTATCTTCGAGGTGTGATGTAGGGACAAAGATTAGACCACATCACTACCAAGTTACTTTAAGCAACTTGGTACCAAGGTTCTCCATTTTTCTCTCTCTCTATATATATATGTGTGTGTGTGCGCGCGCGTGAGTTAGAAAGCATGGTAGTTATTATGACAAATCTTGTAGTTATGGTATTTCTTGATTGTCAATTTTCTTCACCTTATACCCTAATTTTCCTTTGCTATATTTAAAGAGGTGAGGCATCTAATAAAATCATGACGGTTCCTTTTCTCTGACATGTTATCAGAGCGGATCCCAAACCCTAGCCGCCAAACCCACTCTTCTCTTTCTTCTTTTCTTCTCTCTATTTTTTTCCTTTTGTTTTCATTGTTCACCTCCAGAGTTACTATTCACAATTGGTGATATTGTTCGGCATCGGAGTTACTGTTCTCCACCAGAGTTACTATTTCATACCGGAGTAACTGTTTATCACCGGGAGTTTCTTGTACTCACTATTGATGATACTGTTCACCATCGGAGTTACTGTTCACTATTAGAGTTGATGTTCACTGCCAGAGTAACTATTTATCACCAGAGTTTATGTTCCTCTTTCTGCTCACGATGTAGGATATGTGCCCTATGTTTTGCGTCATCTTCCTGCTTATATGCCTACTTGCCTGATCGCATTTGTTGTCATATCCAAGTGATCTCTGTCTATGGTATGTTAGTTTATATTTGTGACTAAGTGCTTGCATTTACTACTGCCTATCCTCTTGTCTATTGTCTGCTAGTATGACCACCTCCTCTAACCAAAAAGTACCTCTGGGAACCACAATCAAGCTCAATGGTCAGAATTACAATCTTTGGGCTCAAGCTTTTCGTTTATTCCTTGGTTCACAAGATAAGCTATCACATCTTACCTCTTGTGCTCCGGACAACAAAAATGATACCTTCTCAACCTGGCAGAAGGACGAGTGATGACTTGGCTCCTCACTAGTATGGAGCCTAATATTGCCTCCATTGTACTTCATCTGCAGTCAACAAATGAGATATGGGATACCCTGAAGCAGATGTACAATCAAGACAGTAACATCTCTCTTGTCTATGAGCTTATCAGAAGTTATTCTCCATGAAGCAAGATGGTCGTCCTGTCAATGAGTACTTTGCTTCGATCAAAGGGATGTAGAATAAGCTATGCAGTTATCAACCAGTTAGGGGTGGGCAAAAACCGAAAAAAACCGGTTCAACCGAAAAAACCGCCCGAAAAAGCGAGTCGGTTAACCGAACCGGATTAAATGGATAAGAAGAAGACTCTAAACCGTCCGAACCGGATTAAACCGGTTTGGATCCGGTTTGAACCCCTGAACCGCCTGAAAAAACCGACCCGAATTCTCTAATATAAATAGTTAAAAACCCTAACCCCATAAAATAAGTTAACTGTAAGCTTTTTTGCTTCTTCGAACTTTCCAAGTGCAGAAAGACAATTAATGAGGATATTAAACACAACAATGTTATGGCCTACATTTTTATCTGTCATTTCGTGCTCTATTTCAAAAGCCGCAGAGAAGTTTCCCTTTTTAAAAAGCATATCCATCATAGAGGCATAGTTTACACGATCGAGCATGATACCCTTCTCTCTCATTTCCTTGAATAAGCTCTCAGTTTCCTCGAATTTTCCATTCTTCCTTAAACCATTTACCAAGACATCGACAACAATGTTATTAAGTTCAAGACCTTCGTTCCTCATTTCTTCATAGAGATCAAAAGCGGCCTCTTGGTTGCCCATTTTGAAGAAGCCATCAATAAGTGTGTGTATCTTTGCCAGCTCACATGTTTGAATAAGTAGCGACATTTGCCCTCAAAGACTGCTTCTCCATTTCTCGAAGTTTAGTTTATGGGGGTTTATGCTCTGTGTGTGTATCTTTGCCAGCTCACATGTTTGTAACCATAGCAATAGTAGCAACCAGAAAAACTTACAGTTAACTTATTTTTCTGCTAATAATATCTTTTGCAAATTCCTTGTACCCTGGCAGTGGCATTTCTTATGATCCTAATCCATGTTTGATTTGTTTTTGTGAAATGGAGTTAATTCGGTCCAAAACCGAAACCGATCCGACCCGATCCGAATTTCGGTTGGGCCGAATATTCGGATGAAGGGGAAAAAATCTGGATCTGGATGAGAGTTTTGAGAATCTAAAAAATTCGGATTGGATGCGGATTGAGCTTAAAACCGACCCGATCCGAATATGCCCAGCCCTACAACCAGTAACTCTAAACCTTCGGAAATAAAAAAAATCAAAAGGAATAGTTCATTGTTGCTAAGTTTCTTCAAGACTTAGATGATAACCTTAACCATATTTGTGGATAGTTATTAGCTGATAAGACAGTGTCATCTCTCACTCGTGCTCTTGCTCGTGTTCTACATACCTCAGTGACCTCTACCCTTGCTTCGACTACTGTCGTTGAGAACTCTACCCTAGCTATAGGGTGGGATCGAATATGAGGCGGAGGACATGCTCGTGATTCAGGAGGAGTCCACTATGATGCTCCCATAGGCAGGGGGGATAATTACAATAGTCATAGTCAGTGCCACTGCATTCATTATGACAGGACAAATCATATTGTTAAAAAGTGAAAAGTGTTGGAACAAGTTTGGTAAACCTAATTGGGCAAATCAAGTAACTTCTGATACTATTAAGACACAACATTGTATTGAGACGCAACATACTAATATTGAGGCTGATAGGGTAATGATTTCCAAGGAGGATTATGAGAAGTACATCAAGGGTCGTTCCTCTCATACTGCTACTCAAGCTCCATTTTCAGGTAATGTTACATTTATTGCTTCCCAATATAAGTCATAGATAATAGATTCAAGGGCTACCATCCACATGACAAGTAATCAGTCGAAGTTTTCTTCCTTACATCTTACTAATTCCATATCTCCTATTCACATTGCCAATAATGTTGTTGCTCATGTTTCTAAAGAAGGTATTGTTCAAACTTCTTCCTCTCTAACTCTTGATGATGTTCTTTATATTCCAAAATTTCCTGTTAATCTTCTTTGTATTAGTCATATTATAAAATCACTAAACTGCTCTGCACATTTCTATCCATCTTTTTGTGTCTTTCAAAATTTCTGTACGAGAATGAGGATTGGTGAAGGACATGAGTCTAGAGCCCTCTACTACCTTTGATGAGAAGCCATCACCTATTGGTGCTGCAGTTGGCTCGAGTGCTATAATGTTTGTGTCTATGTCTCCTTTCTAGTGGCACTGTAGATTGGGCCATGCCTCCTTACAAAGGATGAAACAACTCATGCCTTTAGGTCAATCTGTGTCATATGGAGTGTAAAGCTTGTGAGTTAGGCAAGCATCATTGTACGTCTTTTTGGTCTAAAGTCGACAAGCAAAGTGTATCTTCATTTGATCTAGTACATTCTGATGTGTGGGGATCGTTGTCGTTTTCCCATTCTATCAGGTTGTAGGTATTTTATTATTTTTATCGATGTTTGTACTCAGGTAACATGGTTATATTTACTTAAAGATAGGTCTCAAGTTCTTCATGTTTTTCAGTCTTTTTATAAAGAAATAAAAACTCAATTTTCCACTGATATTCATATCTTTCGTACTAATAATGCTTTGGAGAATGTAAAAAAGGATCTTTCTGCAATCTGTGAATTTAATGGTATCATTCACCAAATCACGTGTGTCTACTCGTCTTAGCAAAATGGTATAGCTGAAAGGAAAAATAAACGCCTTCTTGATATTGCTCGAGTACTTATGTTTCAAATGTATGTTCATACGTACTTTTAGGGAGATGCAATTCTCACTGCATGTTTTTTCATTAACACACGTCATTCTCTATACTTGATGGGAAAATTCCTGTCCAAATCTTCTTTCCTGACCAACCTCTATTCAGTCATCCTCCAAGAGCAATTGAGTTTTTGATCCTATTTCTTGTAAGTCCCCAATCACTGCTGACATAACCTTTTTTAAGAACACACCATATTTCACACATACTAGTACTACTCCTATCAATGAGTTTGTATCCATGCCTTTACCTCAACCTATGCCTCTCTCCAGTCTTGCTACCCCCACTTGAGTTTGTAGTTCTACTAATGCAGTTCCTCTAATCACCAATTGCCCTTATAGGTGTATACTCGTTGATCAAAGCAAAACCTCATGTTCTGCCTTCTACAAATCTTCTACCCTCAAAAGGAGATCCAGTTCCAGCACCTATCTTTAGATCTTGACATTCCTATTGCTCTTCGGAAATATACTCGTTCATGCGCCTCTCATCCTATTTCCAGTTATGTTTTCTTTGATCGTCTTGGTACTATTTTTCCCTAATTTATTCTGTTTGTCCTCTGCTTCTATTCCTAGGACTTATAAGAAGGCTATGACACATCCTAATTAGCGAAGAGCAATGGAAGAGGAGATGTCTGCTTTAACATCTCGTGGTACCTGGGAGCTGATGCCTTCACCCGCTGACGTTGATGTTGTTGCTTGTTGTTGGGTGTTCACTACTGAGTATCTACCTGATGGATCCACCGATCGATGCAAGGCCCGATTAGTTTGCAAAAGGATTCACTCAGACATATGGAGTGGACTATTTTGAAACATTCTATCCAGTTGCTTGTCTCAACTCTATTCGAGTCTTATTTATGTAGCTGCAAACAAAATTTGGCTTATGTTTTAACTTAATGTCAAGAATGCATTTCTATATGGGGATCATGCTGAGGAAGTGTATATGGAGCAACCACCTGGGTTCATTGCTCAAGGGGAGAAACGTGTCTGCAAACTCAAGAAAGCTATTTATAGCCTCAAACAAAGTCCTCATGCTTGGTTCGAAAAATTCAGTCAAGTTATATTTGCTATAGGTTTTCACAGGAGCCATGTTGATCATTCGATCTTTGTCCGCTAGAAGCTTCTAGTATTGTTATTCTCATTATGTATGTGGATGACATTCTATTATGAGGAAGTGATAGTGCGAGTATTGAAGAAACCAGAAAATATCTCAAGCAACATTTCGTGACAAAGGACATGGGTCAACCCTATTATTATCTTGGTATAGAGATTGCACGTAGCAAACATGGCATTGCTCTATCCCAAAGAAAGTATGCTCTTGATCTACACAAAAAAAATGGTTTGCTGGGCTCTAAGACTGCTAATATTCCATTGGAACAAAACCTTAACTTATAGTCTAAGAATAGTGACGATTTTGATGACAAAACAAAATACAGACGCCTAGTTAGAAAACTTATTTATTTGACTGTTACTAGACCAGATATCTCGTTTGTAGTCGGTGTGATCAGTCAGTTCATGGAAAAAAAACTAGGAAGCGTCACTGGGAAGCTACTTTAAGAATTCTGCAATACATAAAAGCAGCTCCTGGAAAAGTTCTTTATGCATGCCATGGTCACATGAATATAGAAGCCTACTCAGATGTTGATTATGTTGGTTCCAAGGATGATAGGAAATTCACATCTGGATATTGCATGTATATTAGTGGCAATCTTGTCACTTGGTAGAGTAAGAAGCAGACTGTTGTTGCTAGATCTAGTGTTAAAGCTGAGTATAGAGCTATAGCTCACACTACTAGTGAGATGATGTGGCTCAAGTCTCTCATGACAGATTTTAGTATTACGTACAATGATCCTATGTCTATGCACTGCAATAACTAAGCTGCCATATTTATTGCTAGTAATCCAGTCTTTCATGTCAGAACAAAGTACATTGAGGTGGACTGCCACTTTGTTCGTGAGGCCGTGATGAACAAGACTATATGCACTTCATACACTTGTTTTGAAGAACATATAGCAGATGTATTTACAAAGGCTTGAGTGTTGGTCGTTTTTCTATCTTGTGTAACAAACTGGGCATATTTGATATATATGCTCTAAATTGAGGGGGAGTGTTAGAAAGTAGGATAGTTATTATGGTAGGTGAGGCCGTGATGAACAAGACTATATGCACTTCATACACTTGTTTTGAAGAACATATAGCAGATGTATTTACAAAGGCTTGAGTGTTGGTCGTTTTTCTATCTTGTGTAACAAACTGGGCATATTTGATATATATGCTCTAAATTGAGGGGGAGTGTTAGAAAGTAGGATAGTTATTATGGTAG